GAGTGGATCCCAAACATTGTAGTATTCAAATTGGTTCCAAACGACCGTTGAATCAGAGCAAATAAGCCACACTCCTTCTTACCGAATTTCGACGTCACCGAGTCAGCGTAGACAGCAGTTGTACCGTTACACTGTGGCAAAAACATGCTCATTTAAGCTTCTTGTTCAGTATATTAAATCACTCCGTGCAGAGTAGCCCATAGTCGGTGAGCCGAGAAAAACACGAGAAAAACCCTCATAATCGTCGATGAATTCCATGCCAGGATTCGCGAAAAACAATGTTCCAGATGCAATTCGTGGATCAGCAGTGGGATCATTCTTAAACAAACATGATGCGGCACCTCACGTTCCTTGAGCACGCAGTTCGAATGACCCGATCCAGCGTTGAATGCTTCTCCTAAGATATTTGCCATTTGAAATGTGCATCCAAAACCTCCGTTATTCCCCTTACTGAGCTTCTTCCATTTGCGGGCGGAATGCTCAAATTTGTAATTATCATTAATTCAAGAGTTAACTTTGGGCACCAAAGGAGGGAACTCCATAATAATCTAAATCCACGCAGGAACAAATTCTTATGAGGAAAGAGGCGACGTACATTTTTGGAGTTGGGTAAGGCTCCAGGGAAATCAGCCAACCAAGTGGAGCCCGAAAGACAGAAATGAAGAGAGATGTTTTAGTTAAGTTTGTTATAAACGTTTGAAGTTTTGTCGAACAGCTAGGTAATCACAATGCTAAATGAAATGGGATCATTTGGATATTGTCTGAATATTTTACAAAGTGAATATTTTTAGCTGCAAGTGATCATTTTGGCGTACGTAACACAGCAAAACGTCAAACCCTGACGGTATGAAAGTACCAAGCTAAGCGAACGCAAAGTCAGAAATCATATCCCACTACCTTCGACAGTCACCGTTAATCTACAAAATCACTATTGTTGATAGCTTGAGTGTGGCGGAACACACACTTGGATTTGTTCTCATTTTCGCCACAAGTAAGGGGTGATTGTTAGGAATAAAGGACACCATCTAACGATATTGAACTTATGCCATTCAGCCCAACAAGGATTCCAAGACTAGGTGGATTTTGGTGCAGTACACACCATGAACGAAACAAAATTTGGATTCCCGTGAGTGGACTTCAGTCCAGCCAGCTGCACTATGAAAGGTATCCCGACGGCAACCATTTCGAGGCATACCATTATTTCAGTGCACAACAATTTTCAAGCCACCTTTTACCAGACTAATGCTCCTAATGTTCCTGGAGATAATAATCATCCGACTTATAAGGTTTGAAAAATTTGTGCCCGGAATTCAAAACCTGCTCGAGGAAAGCAAACATCACTCGGACGTGGTCAAGACTGCTCCTATGAGAGATTACGCTCTTACAGTCAGGTGACTTTAACGTAGAATAACAAACGGCAGGAATCCCTGAGGGACAAAACATTTCAGTGAATCGGCCTCTTCAACTCTAATTTTGTCAATTATGAGCGATTAAGTAGAAACATGGCTTACCTATCTCTCTCCCTCTACCTTCAATAAATATCCGCTTATATTGGCCATTTAGCTGGTAACGGCCACGAGCCGTTCGCAACATGAGAGGTTTGTGACGGAGCATTAGACGTAGAAACAGTTAAAGCTATTTCAAAACACTCCTCTAACGAGGGGGTTGGTAGATAGGAAACACGGAAAACATAATCCCTATTCATTTGGAAAAAAAGTAAGTAAGTCAGAGAAATCGAGAAATTTGTTCTCCGTGCATCGTTTGCGATATTGTAGCCGGAATACTGTTCAAATAATTAGACCCTGTCATTGTGAGTTAGACGGTCCGAGAAGATAAGTGGCGTTTGCGTAACGGTTTACATATGATTTACTCAGGGTTTACACATATGAAATCCCTGAGAAGCTCTACGATGGGATCGGGCTCTACTAGCGGCTGAATCCTAAGGAGGTTTCCTGCACATCCACGGGAGTGATCCTCTGGATTATCCACGAACGGGCCTGAAGCAAGCATCAGTTGCGGTATCCGCTTTTTACGCTTAATCCTTTTTGGCTGTTGGCTAAGCGGATTACAAAAACTCGCTCTCTGCCAAAGATATATGTTTCCGAATATAACCTGGATCCAGATCATCTTCGTTGAGCGCGTCTGAATGACGGGGACCCGCATCCTAGGAAAATCGCTGAGACCCGATATTGCTCAGTTGGAACGACCTTTGGTTTCCTCCGGTAATACGTAATCGACAAAATGCAAAAGAACATGAATGACCCTGATCTTGAGAAAATGAGACAAATAGCGGCCACTTAAGCCCACCTGATATGCTCTGAGCTACAACGATTCTTGACGCTGGACGACGTATGCGATTTTGAAATAGCCCGGTGTTGCGCTTAAAGCGCTGAAGACGCAGACGCAATTATTGCGATCGGACAAGAGAGTATGCATACCAGTTTCAGACAACTTGGATGGACATCTATTCTGCGTGTTGTGAATGAACATAAGACCTTCGACATATATTGGAAAATGGGGTTGTTCGCTGCTATGAACGTGAGGCAACGTGGCCGGAACTAAGTTTGTAAATGTTTTACCATGCCGGAAAAACCGACGAGGATCGGTCAGACAGAGACGGAGAACACTGTTGTGAGAGTTGCACGAACAATTTTCACAATCTTCTGTGATACAAGGATGAATTCAGTATGGTACTTATCCCTGGTGACTAGCATGCCCTTATACACTGAAGCATGTATTTTACCTTTTTCAATTGAGGACGGGCTAGAAATGATCGGTCATAAGACCACCTACTTGGTTACCCGGTTTCCCGGAGACATTCCTTCTGAAGGGCAGCCACCACTTGGTCACCTTAAAGACAACCACACCCTCCGGATAAAATTCAAATGTTTCTTGTTAGTTCCCACAAAGTGATTGTAACCGCTGAGAATCCGTTTTCTCTCAGGCGATTGTGAAAGGTTCAATACCGTTCGAAATGTGCCGATATTATCACGTTCCTCCTAAAACGTCATTCACTCTCGTCGGATTCGGACCACTGATCAATCTAATTCTTACGTCTCTACGAATTTGTCTTAGGGGACCTAACTTGCAACTGCGTGAAACGCTATCACTGCGCTAGAATCTGGTGCTTGGAGTGAGCCTGGAACAATGTTTGCTTGGCCTTAACGGTTAAACTCTCTTCCGACCGACATATACCGTGAAACAGAGCAAGGTCACACATGACTTCATGCATCCAAATTTAAAGTCAGTACCCAGTACGGGATATCTCATGGCAGATTGAAATTCTGTTTCATTTGAGGGCTCATCGGCGAACAAATCGATCGTTGCGGGCTTTGAGTAAGACGAGAAATCCCATTCACTTTGAATCAGATCCGAATGTGTTTATTTGAGCTTTCCACTCGCATTGACAATGCTGCATTTGGGTTTGCCTTGTGACATAGAGAGCAGTATTTATGTCTTTTTGTAGGATTTCGTCCCGTAGGTGAAGCCAATCTGTACTGAAAAGCCGAGAAGCTCTGTACAGCTGTCACCTCCTTATTGTGAATAATCAGCAGTGCGCAACTCACGAAACTCCGGAGAGTCTCGAACCCGCGACATCCCGGCTAGTAGTTTTAACCGTTCGGCCACGAGTGGCTGATCAGCAGTGTGATTCAACTCGCACTTAGACAGGACATATATATGAGCGGCCTGTTCCGGACCCGTCGGAGATTCGTGAGATGCGCACTGCTGATGATTCCCAGTATGGATGAAACAGCTGAACAGGGCTTCTAGCTTTTCAGCAAGCATAGATTGGCTTCACTTACAGGACGAAATCCCACAAAAATCCCGAATCCTCTCACACTACCAACAATATCTATGTCTGTCTTGCTTAAAAAAGCGCTCAAACGGAACTCAGAATTTCATACTTAATGTGTAGTAGGAATTTGCGACAAATGATTTGGATCTGTTGACATTTATCCTGTCGCGTGAGTAACGAAAAGAGTTCCTCAGGGAACACGCAAGCCTTCCAAATACACTCAAATATTTGGATGTCTTGAGGTATTGCACAATATCATCAAGCTCAAATGGGTCTCAGTGAGTGTGTTATATATATTCGCTTTAAAAACCGTCATCAGCTCTTTATGCCAAACAGGAATTCGGTGAAAAGTGTGATTGAACGTTAGAGCGATCCCCGTTATGTCATTGAAACACCTTCATAGTCAGCAGTTCTTGTATCCTCATGCACCGCAATAAACCCCGTGAAACGTGCACCCGCCATCGCCTGAATCCGTAGTTCAAGTGTGTACCAGGTTTTGTGGCATTGGGATTGAGAGCATCATCTGCGTTTCCTTATCATGATACCTGATACAGCGAGTTACGGATCCATTTTGTGTTGCAACTCCAAGCTCGACGGAAACATGTGCACACTTCTGAGCGAACTGCGTGAGGCATTTTCTTCAAAGGGATTCTGGTTTGTGTGCAGAACGGCAGCAAAAAATTCAGAAGCCTCACCTGCAAAAATAGGTATGAAACTACGTTTGGCGGGAAAGGTGTCTAGTGCAAGCGGTTCGGTTTGAGATGTGCGTGAACCGATAAATTTGGTGAACAAATTGTTAAGCGCCAGCCGAGTCAAGACGCTGGCACCTTTGCAAAAAAACGGCAGTTGGCTCCTGATCAAGTGAGCTGTGCAGGTATTACACCAAAATTAAAGAGAAAAAGGCACTTCGTCCAATGTTACACTATTATGCTTGCACTTCCGTTTATATAAATCAATTTGCTCCCGGTAAACGAATAAGACATATATCCGACCTTTGTGACAGGGGGCTTGGCTTGTTTGAACGGATAGATTGACCGCAAATTTGATAAGATCGCTTATGAGAACATCGTCAAACGAAGGTTTGTTTTTGTTAGTAAAATGTTTGCCGAACTCGCGTCTTCCCTGTTTGAATGCCTCAAGCTTTGCTTCCGTTCCTTTATTCTACTGTAACATATAAACACTTTTCACTAGATGGACCGGAAAAGTGGCCGTTTGCATTGGTTGGTTAAATTACTTATGCCTTTCCCACCAAAATAAAATTGCCTGAATAATTTACAAGTGGTTATCACTGGCTTTTTGTAGATTTTCAAGTAACTGAGCGGACTGAAGTATAGAACACTCCCTATTCTGTGTAAAGTTTCGATCGCCAGAAAGTCTATCTTTATAAAAGACACCACTACCAAACTTTATGTGGCTTATAATCATTCTTGTTTTTATGGAAACCCAGCCTCTCATCAGGCTGTTGGTTGTGCAAATACTCCGAAAAATTTCTGGATAGAATCGAATTGAAGGAAATTCTTTCAGCAATGCACACTTATATAATGGTATAGCGTTCATTGCGCGACATCCGCATGTCGGTCGTAAATTCACTGTCTACAGAATATTGCCTCATGCTCAGCACACTGTTGGTCGTGTTCTCATACGGTGAACATAACAACGATGTTGAAACCGAATGTTCCAAATTCGGTACTACTTTCTGCATTCAGGAAATAGGTTCCCTCCTTCATCTTATTCTGGCGCAACCTTGTTTGATGTACTCATATCCGTACTGACTCAAATGGAACGAAACCATTTTCCAAGGTACTGAAACACCAGCTCACTCGAAAACGTTTTTTCGCACGGACCACAATGGAAATCAACAGCTTTAAAGTGCTTGTTTTGGTGTCTGTTAGCCTCCGATAGGCAAGTAAATGATCTATCGCATAATAAATACTCGCGACATCCATCCTGGTCTGTATGTATGTTTGGATCTTCCAGTTAGCCAGCGCCGGAATGGCATCCCCCGTTCGCTCTGTTAGTCGCGTGTCCTGTAAGTGTGCCTTCTGGAAGTAAACAGGTTCGGATTCGGTTTGGTTTTATTTCCCCAGTTGGAGTGTACTGATTTATCTCGAAGCCTTTATAACGGCAAAGCATAGTTCAACTAGCAGTCAATGTTTACAAAACTGCTTGGTTACAGGGTGATTTCCACTATGGCTTCATGGTTCAAATGTATTCAGCCCATTTGAAAATTTTGAGATCTACCGAAAAGCACCCTCGTCTTTTTTAGGGAGGATGAACATGGCAGGCCCTAATAATCCATAGAGGGGTATAAATGAGGACATTTCAAGTAAACGTCGATAAACATTTGTTCATTGATTCCACGATTTGTGGCATAAATGACAAGACAACAGGGAAACAGAATGCTTCCCCCGATACAAACCCCCAAATATGGATCCGCTACGCGGAATATTCTTTTGCGGCCATCAAAATGTGTCAAGCAGTGAACAACGACACGCGCTGTCGCATTGGAGCACAGGAGCAAACTGCCGATTATTTTACGTCGTCATCAGTGTATTGCTCAGCCGATGACTATAATCAGGGGCCTTGTGAAAGGCGACGCGGGTGGGTCAAATTGTTTGCCACAGCACCAAGCGGTCAAATTATCACAAATAACGCAGAATTCAGATATTATCCTATGATTGTAGGTAAATCCACCAAAAATTAACTATAGGATTAAGTGAAAGGTTCTCATAATTTGTTTTTAAAAAAGCGGACATCCGGGGGCATGCACCTAAGCATGGTTTGCTAATCAAACACGACAAATACGACAGCTCAGAATGAAAGCAAAGTAGTCAGTGCCGTACACCAAAACACCACGTGGATGACGACAAAACCCTTGCAACAAGTTATTACAAGGCTCTCACACTAGCCTGAAAGAAACAGTGGGAATTAGAACACGGTCATTCAGAAAAACAAAGGGGTCACCATAATAAATAATTATCGAGATAACCAGCAAACTCATGGAAACGCAAGCGACACCATATCGGGACGACAGACGTACCAATAAAATTACGGAATGCTCTGCAAACCAAATGGCCAATCATGTTAATTGGTAACAGGTGGTCTTCAAATCCTACTTAACCGCACGCACGGGAAACGGATTTACGCACAAAGAATTTCATACGAATGCTGTTTCATTGTATGATGACTCAAATTTGTAATCCATTTACCAATCCTGAGACCCGGAGCAGCGACCACCGTATTGGTAGCCAATAAATCCATCGAGTTAAAAACATATCGAAAACCAGTGTGGCAACAACCTTTTAAAGTTGAACGCATTAAGAAACACGCGATTTAGAAACAGCGTCATGCATTCCATTACGCGTCAACATCTTCAATAGCCCATTGAGGGACAAATTCGCCGTTTTTTTACCTTGAACTTAACATTTTTTCGCCGATCCTCCCAAAGAACCTTGAGGTGAGTTGTGTGTTGCGCTTAAGGTCTTGTCTTATGCGCACAATGGAGACTTGCTTACAAGTCGTCAGCATACACGTATTCCATTGAAGGGCGAGTAAACGTGCATTGCTCAACTTAAGATCCTACCTAAATTACGCTCACGTATATCCGCAATCCTATTCAAGTAGACGCTTCGCTCGCTGCTACTTCTCGGGTGTGCAGGCCCTAAGTTCCCTTCTACCTACTCTGGCTTACTCAGGAAAGAAGCTACTTCTTCGTTTCCTAACCACTGACTAACTTTTCCCCGTCCATGCCTCTGCTACGGTAAGGGCCGATTTGCGGGTAGCCCGCTAAATCGCCGTGTCAAAGGGAGCAGTTGAAACTAGTGAAATAATGGGCCAGGTGGAATAGTCATTATCAAAACCGATGTTAATTATTTTTCGGCGTTCAGAGGATACAAACCTTTGTTTGGTTCTGGAAGTCCGTGTGCGAATTTCTCTATGTTTGCCATCGTGATTGCCAAGTCAAGATAATTAAGCGAGCAACTCTGATAAAGAAATATCTGGCAGGAAACCGCCAAACTTTGGAACGTTCCACATATATCATGTGGAGCCGGGGTTACTCGCGATGTCAAATGAAATCGCATCTATCCTTTCCGCTGGTTTGCAAACGAGATTTTCGTAGGGCGTTGCGAACCACCATAATTGGGTCCAATGAAAATAATCAGGTGACTGCTACCAGCATTTCACTGCTGGATCCCATCAGAATATGGAATCCCCACATAAGTCGATCACTTTGTCGTGGTGATCGGGCCTCTGTTCATCAAAGAGACGATGGGTTTGCTACGAGCAACTGCTGTAAGAGTGGGATAGTAGGGCATTTTTCCCGCATCTCACGGTCCAGCCGGCCCTCGGTAACCAGATGCTTTGGAATGTTGGATCAGCGGCCTAGGGAAATACGTACATATATCATATGGTTCAGCTGTAACACCCTTAGAGTGCCTAGCTGCCATGCCACCCGAAGGAAGCACGAAAATTATCAGAACTGCTCAACATACTATGTGTACACCATGTGTCTCCTCCATTCCGCGTCAGCGTTTTTTCGATCATTGTATTGGTATCATCGTTCCTGGTTGCGAAGACGATACGAAGTGCATGATTCTGAAAACGCGAAACTATTAACACTCCCTAAAACTAATAGACAAAAGCCTTCAGATGTACATACCGTGCGCCTATCATTTCCAGCTTTGTATCGTTTGCTCAAACTGCCAATACTGTGCGCGTACGGCCACAAGGTGCTGACAATCTACAGTTCATTACGTACACCTACCAATCAGATTAGTCCTGAGTGTCGGCTTCGTATGACTCAATGATTGGTCGAGTAGAGCAAGTGGGTCGCGGCTAGATGATCCCATTCAAATAGACCTTGCATGATTTAGAAATAAAAGGACGCAATAACCTTCTATCATTTCTTCGTGCATCATCCCTTCCATGGTGCGACTGTGTGTTTACCGATTAATTTCTTTTGCGCTAATGTGCCTCGAAGATTCCGCTT